TAATAAAATTAAATAATTAATATATTAATAAAATTATAATAATTAAATAAAATAAATTTATATATTTTATACTGTTGTCTCATTCAAAATTCCAATCTGGTGGATAACAAAAATCAGATAATTACCGCCAATTTAGAAGCCAACTGGACGTCCCTGTACTTTACTTGACCTTTCCTTCATCAGACTGCTACTCTAACGTGAGGTGCCTCCTTGAAGTAATCTAAATTATTTCCCACCGCTATTAAATTTATTTATATTTTTAATAAAAACTAACCTAAATAATTAAAATAAGATAAATATATCTCGTATGTAAACTAATAAGCTCTTAATTAATTAATTAGTATCTCTAATCTAATTTTTATAGATCAGTTAAACTAAATCATAGCCAGGTTTGATCACTTCAAAGAACACAATGTCTGAAGAGGTTAAAATTCTCAATATATGAATTCTAAAATGGTTGGCTGCACCTACAGTACGTTAAATATATAATATAATATGGTGATCCAATACTATATATTATACATGTTAATACTATTACTTTCTCTCTCTTTCCTTATATGGAAACTACATATTAATTGATTATTTTAATTATTAACACAATATTTTAATAATTAACTCATTAATAAATAAAATTTTTTGTTTTGTAAATATATTATAAATCAATAATAATTCATTATAATATTTAATTTAATAAAATTATGATGATTAATTTAAGATATTTATAATAATTATATTTTGCTTTTTAAAATACATCAATCACGTGATCCATCACGTGATTGATGTATTTAATTTATATAAAATATTCAATATTCGTAGCTCTGTCATATGCTTATCTTTATGTACACATATTTTTCACGTGTTGGATAGTTTATAATTTAATTAAATAACTGCTCCGTATCTACCAAAAATGATAATACAAAATTATCAACTTGAACTGGGCACTGATGGACACACACACCGAGACAGTCCACGATAGTTGCTTGTCACAAACCGTGACTCAGTAATGATACCAGTTAATTCGGCTCTTGGGCCAAGCAGACCAAATCAATTACTTAATCATACACATATGCAATTAAAAATATTGTTATTACAGTTAATTATAAAATTTATTTAATAACTATTACTTAATTAATGAGTATATGTGTTATATATTCTCAAAAATTTGTAAAATTTATTTTGTTTAAAAAAAAATCCAATATTTTTTTTATAAAAAAGATAAATTTAAAATTTTTTTAATTAAGCATTGAATTATTATTTTATATTTGTAAATAATGGTTGATATAATCATATAAATTATAATGCGTGTTATTATTTATTAACACATGCCTTTTACGGTTTACTAAACTAATATTTGATGCGTGCATGGATTTATTTCAACTCATTCAATTTAAAATATTTAGATGATTATTTTCTAATATTTATGTATAAATTTATATATATTTCTGTAATATTTGGGTTCAGAAATTTAGTTCAGAATAATTTTTTTTTTAATTTATAAAAAAAATATATAAATAATTAATTTTTTTTTAATTTAACTTTGGTTAATTTTTTGAAAAAAAATGAATTAGGAACGAAATTAAGAACAATTCTGAAAAAAAAATAGGTGAAAGTGAGAATATAATAGGTGTTTCTAAAAGAAAATTAAAAATAGA